GTTCATTATTTTAAAAAGAAAAAGTTACAATTTTAGTATGAAACAATAAAAAGGATAAAATTTAGAGATATAGCTCGATGAAATTGGGAAGCCTTATCATCTTGTCTCATCTGGTAGGAATTTTCAAGTCAATCATGCTTGTTGGCTAAGGCCCATGTATGCGAAGTCCTACATACGCCCAGCTCCTTACAAATTCCTTATAGGGTCTCACATGGGGCGGGGTCAAAAAAATTTTCCATTTTAATTGCCTCGGGGCTCTTATGGGCCCAACCCATGAGAGGTGTCTATAAGATCCTGTGAAATGAAGCCCTGTACATAAGGCTTTATTCGAAGCCTTATCATCTCCTCTCATCTTGTCGAGATTTTTGAATGAGAAAACTTCACAATTCAGCTTTTAAGTATGATCAATTCAAATTCTAGGCCCTAAGTTCAAAAGTGAATAAATCAGATTTTTATTAATTAATTAATAATATTTTATTAATTTAATATATTAAGGTCACAAATGTATAATTCATGGTCACATATGGTACTTATATGTCATAACATCATATATTGTCAAATTCATTGATCACAGATTATTTCATCAGTCACAATTTACTTGTCGATCACAGATTTTCAAATTATTTGGTCACAAACTATTTTTTAATAGCATATTATCATATTTTTAGGTGACAATTAAATCTTTGATCACAGATAACCAAAAAATTGGTCACATACACAAAATAACGGGTCACATATAATCGCCACTACCACTACGACCACAGTTAAATACTTGGTCGCAAATAACCAAAAATTTGGTCACATACACTAAATAGCGAGTCACATATCATCGCCACTAATACTACTGCCACTGCCACTACGATCACGGTGAAATATTTCGTCACAGATAACCAAAAATTTGGTCACGTACACCAAACAATAGGTCACATACCATCACCACCAACACTAACTCCAAACAAAACGCACCACCATCAGCACCGGTACCACCACCGCCATTTTGCAACCCACCATCAACAACCTGCAATACTACTATCACAGCACCACCACTAAACAACCACCAACACCACTAGTCCACTACCACCTCACCACCACAACCACCACTAAAAACAATGATTTGCAAAACTGAAAACAATTAAACCACGCACAACTAACATCAAAACAATAACAAAAAGAACATCACAGTCATCATTCGGCTTCTCTGATGCTACGAGCTGCATTGTGAAATGGCGCTCAAAGGCGATCGCAATGAAATCACCGGTTGGCGACGCTTGCCATGTGTAAGGGAGAGTATAGAGAGATAGATAGAGAGGAAGGAGGGGAAGAGGAGGGAAAGACGGAGATCGCCGCTCATTGCTCACACGACAAGCTCCGCTATGATCCGACAACGACGGCCATGTGGAGGAAAGAAGATAGAGAGACTTAGAGAGAGAGGGGAAGAAGAGGAAGGGCACCACTTGTTGTATCCATTGTGATTCAGTGACAGTGGCAGCGATGAGCTCTACTGATCTGGAGATGACAGTCGTAGAGAGAATGACAGCGAGATGATGGGGAAAAGACGGGATGAAGAGGCATATATGGGTGTAATTTCGACTTTTTGAGCCAACCGTGCTTGCCTTGGCCATCCAAGGCTAAGTATCTTTATCCTTTTCAAGCTATAGGAAGAGGCAAGGATTATAATACTTTCATTTATCGATATTTTCTTATTTATTTACTTTTCAAAATAAAATGTAAGTTTCAAAATGGGGATCCTGTTTTCTTTTACTTGATTCCTTCATGGGTCAAGGCAATACAGGGTATGATATTTTTTTCAGTAAATCTAAATCAAATTGTTCTGGCAAAACATTACTTTCATTTCTCATCATAAGTGCAAATCTAAATTACAGTGTATACACTTTGGTTTCGTCTAACTCAATTATGAACACAATCCTAGATGCCCTCATGAGAGGTGGTCAGCCAAAGTGGACTATCCTTCTCTTGTTTGGTCTAACCCAAACCCAGCACAATCTAAGATACCCTCCTTGAGAAGCGGTCGTTTGGAACCCTAGAATAAAGTATGGGTCATGGATGAGTTTTTTGTTACAAATATGCAAAAGGATCTTCAAGAGGACTTTTCAATAATGGATTATTATACAATCATATATACGCTGCACATGAACAACAAGCTTTATAACCAACATCGACACAATCTTTTGCCCAATATCAGCACAAAAATAGTGAAATATGTGTGCAAAAGATTGAAATGTATCAAACTATGACTTCAAATCCTAAAGTATCAAATAACTTTAATCTACAAGAAAAGAGGGGGTGGGGGGGGGGGGGCTAAATTTGACAGCTTCAAGAGAGCAGAGTTATGTGTTGCTGAACTTAAATCTGTAACTAAAGCTTCCAATAAATCCTGAACCGATGCAATAAACCAGCAACAATGCCCCAAAACAATATTTCAGCAAAGATGACATAAAGTAGAATGCCCACTTTTCTTGAATGCCAAACATTGATGAAAATGTGCTTCTGTATCCAATATATCTGCAAAGATTGTTTTAAACAGTTGAAAATCAATGCAAAGAGAATGTAATACTTCAATATATGCATCAGAATATCAGACGTCTTAATTTTCAGTAATGCAATTTGAGATAGGTGGTATTTGGTAATCTTTTGATAATGTCTCTTTACGATGACTATGGAAAGCAAAGGGAATTTGTAACTACATGGGATGGGGAAAAAGCTTTCTGAGACTTTATCTGAGTTTCTGTGTAGTTCAGGATGAAAGCAAGTTCATGGAGAGAAATTCCTGATAACTCATTTAATGGAAATTAAGAACATCATTGTTTGGATACTTTGAAATTGAGGTGATACTAACGGCACTGTGTTATTTATTACCATAGGGAATGCCTTCACATCTATTATGCTAACATGTAGTTTAATAGATAGGAAGTATAGAAAAATGACATTATGAAGCATAAAACTTACCTCCAATTGACTACAGTTTCAATAACAAAAGAATGAACTAATCAAAGTTCACAACTTTATTCACAAAGGATTTGCAAAATGAAATGTGCCATGCTATTTTTTATAACTTAATTGCCTTAAAATTTGTGCTCAAGTCTAGCAAGCATATGCCCCATGATTTATGTCTTACATTATGCTTCCATGATAAGAATTGGAGGTCAGTTTCCAAAATGTTTCATAATCGTGACAGAAAAACTTCTAAAACCAATTAACATATATTGCGCTAAGAATGATAGAATCTTATAGGTTAAGATTAAATTCTGGGATTTTCTTTAATGTTACTAAAATGAGTTAAATGGTTTCCAGTTTACCAATAGTTTGGGGAATGGGTAACTGGTGTAATGTGGGGGTAGTTTCCCATGTTTTTTTCTAGCATCTAGAGGATCTCTTCTTCTCATATTTTGTATTTCCTGTAAAATGTCTATAGGTGATTTCACTTGTAAATTACATAATCCTTTATGAGAGTTGGTGATGATGAAAAAAGGCATTGACCTTCAAGGATTATAAGAGGTTATTCATAGACTACTCCAAGACTGGACTCACGCAACTTGCTCAAAATATTGGATAATTACATTTTGTTTCTAATCACGAGTTTATGTTTGAATTCAGGTTATTCAGTTTCTGGGTCCTTTTTTTTTTAAAGGTAGTTTCTAGGTCAATTTGTTTCTAATAGTATAGCCAAGTCCATGTCATTTTAGGAATTTTATAATCATAGATTATTTCTACAATTTAATTTAGGATTTTTTTGGTAATCTTTATGCTTGTGATCGCGTTAGGAGTTGTAAGTTAATAGTGGAATACTGGGATTTGTCTTATTCCTGAACTATATATAACGAAAGAAGCACGGATTCAAGTACGATAACATATGGGTACGATACAACTTTTAAACAAAACTTAGGTTACAAAGGTACGTGTATATATGTATATGTGTGTACTAATTTTCACAAGTTAAATATAAAATTCAGCACAATTTCATTATTATAAAAAAAGATTTAAAATAGAAGTTTGATAATAACAAAAATGCTAAAGCATGTTATAATCCTTAATTATTCTAACCTTATTTTCTTCATCATCACAACCATCAACTTCTTTATTATCATTAAAAGTAAAATGCTACAACTTTAACTCATCTAATTATGAATTAGCAACTTCAATTATGACGACACCTTCAAGAGTATAAAATGAGTCTCCAGCAATGTCCTACATTTCGGATTCTCCTTTTGAATAAATATTTAACTTTCTTGATAAAAGATGCAGATATCTATGAATGAAAATCTATTTTTAGTATGCAGAAGAAATAATTGATTTAACTATTGACAGGAGGACCACGGGCACTTCTTCAGATTTTGAATTTATTGTGGAGTTAATTTATTGCTACTCATAGAGTACACAAAAGAGTAGGTCCTCCATTTTAATTAATAAATATTATATATTTTCAGTAAGTTATTGAAAATAACAGTATTTATCTATTATTAAAAAAGTCTTCATCTATTATCAATAATAATATAGTGAGTTTTAAATGAGTGTAAAATCTTTTTCATGTGTCCAAAGGTGTTCGATATGTATTGAAAATTTATAAAATATACAAAATATAAAATAAATAAAAAACACACATTCTATACGTATAGGAGAGTATCCAAGCGTATCCAAGCTTGGATACATATCAGTTACGGGTACACAATAAGTTTATAAGTAGCCGTGCTTCTTAGTGTGTAACAACCTAGTGTGCCCTGATTTGTTTTAGTTTTCCCAGTTTGCTACATTATACTGAAATGAAATTTTAGGCCGAACTAAATTGTAGGATTCCTTATTTTTCAGGAGTTAGCTCTGACTTTCTGTGCAGTTTAAACATAATGTCTTTAGAGGTATCTGTGTCCAATCGATGACTTTAATGCGATTCCTTCAAATTGAGTTCATCAATTAGTGTCATTATAAAGTATCTGTGTCTAATCAATGACTTTTATGTGATTCCTGCAAATTGAGTAAATCGATTAGTATCATTGTCTTAAATGGTAAGTAAAGATTGGAGATTTAATGTGATGAGTACTAGTTTTGTTTTCTACATTTGTCAGATTTTGGAAATGAACCCAGAGGATGAGGCTGAAGAAGATGGTGCAAATATTGATCTTGACTCTCAAAGGAAGGGTAAATGTGTAGTACTAAAAACATCCACACGCCAGGTAAGATATCCTGGGTACATGCATTTCTCTCCTTGTGGGCGAGAGACTGTGCATCTGCATCTGAGATTGTGCACATGTTTTTCCAAATCATTTTTTTAAATCCATTATTCATTTTCTGTTTGCTTCAATTTCAATTTTTCTTGAAGAAGTTGTTGCGTGGTTGTTGCTGTTTTCAACTTGGCAGGCTTGGCAAATGAGTGTGAAGAATGTAGAGTACTGCACAATTATTGACAATCAGTGGTTTTCATTGGATAAACTTTTCTACTTTGGAAATGAAAATACAGTATCCATAATTGAATTCTGAAAGTGATGAATTCCTCTGTCATGTTAAGCTTCTGCCAATGGAAAGTGATCTGGTTAACATAGAATATGTAATAATTCTCTGTTAAAAGATCGTGTCATGTTTTTTAATGTGATCGAATGGAAATCTGAAAATGGGAACCTGATAAAATCATGCAGAAGCTTAACATCATAAAGAGAAAATGTTGAGCTACTGAAGTTGATAATTGTCTTGAGAGAATTAATATGCTACAGTTTTGACAATGGAAATCTAAGAGTGATCATTTTTATCTGTCAATGGTTATAACTCTTTAAGAGAATTAATATGTCTGTCAAATGCAGACAATTTTCCTGCCTGTAGTAGGTCTTGTTGATCCTGACGATTTGAAGCCTGGTGATCTGGTTGGAGTAAACAAAGACAGTTACTTGATATTGGATACTTTGCCATCTGAGTATGATTCTCGTGTCAAGGCTATGGAGGTTGATGAAAAACCAACAGAAGACTATAATGATATTGGCGGCCTGGAGAAACAGGAAAGCTTATTTCTTTATGATCTTTTGATATGATCAAATTTTTTTCAATCTCATTTCATACATTAATATTTTGTTGGAACCTTATTTTGATCACTACAGATTCAAGAACTAGTTGAGGCAATTGTGTTGCCTATGACACACAAAGAAAGATTTCAGAAGTTAGGAGTTCGTCCGCCCAAGGGAGTACTCTTATATGGGCCTCCTGGAACAGGGAAAACTCTAATGGCCCGTGCTTGTGCTGCTCAAACAAATGCTACTTTTCTTAAGCTAGCAGGTCCCCAACTTGTACAGGTATACTACTTTTAAGATTATTCGTCATGCTCTCTGATTCGTGTTGTCTTTACCTAGTGTTTAAGTGATCTTTACTCTTAAAGATCTGAATTTTGGAACTCTTCAAGCTCCTGATCCATGATATTTATGTACTTATTATGTAATTTGCACATAGAATGATCAAAAATTGTTATGGTCTTAGATGTTTATTGGAGATGGTGCAAAACTGGTTCGTGATGCTTTTCAACTTGCAAAAGAAAAATCTCCTTGCATCATCTTTATTGATGAGATTGATGCTATTGGTACAAAGCGTTTTGACAGGTAGGTTAGCTCTCTTCAGTTTCCATCTGAGTTTAGATTTTTCTTGATTCTTGATGTCCATGTGATTTGGGAGCTGTTGACACTGTTGATCACTAATTGCTGACATTTTTTTATACTTCACAGTGAAGTTAGTGGGGACCGAGAGGTGCAACGGACCATGTTAGAGTTGCTCAATCAGCTTGATGGTTTTAGCAGTGATGATCGGATCAAGGTTATTTCTCTACTGTTTTAATCATGCATTTTCCATCACTCGTTTGTTCCTGTTTTTCGCGGCATGGGGATTCCTTTGAAATACTTGCTTCTGTTTGACCTTTGATGGGTTTTCTGCGGTTATTTATTTTGTCCAAAAAGACAGATATGTTTTTGTCAATTTCACCCTAAACCCCAAACTCTAAACCCGTCAATTTCAAGTATTTATACTTGGCGATATTCTGAAACTCTTTTGGTGTCCTCTGTAATTTCTAAGGTGATAGCAGCAACAAATCGAGCTGATATCTTGGATCCTGCCTTAATGAGGTCTGGTCGATTAGATCGTAAAATTGAGTTTCCGCACCCTACTGAAGAAGCCAGGGCTAGAATCTTGCAGGTATGCTTGCCAGACAAAGAATTTCATTCTTTCAAATAAAAATTTCCTGTGGTTCTGCAGCGGTACTGGCATTGTTTCTCATATTAATCATAAAAAACCATTTACTACTGAAGTTTAAGTCTCTTATCTTTGCTGCATCTTATTATAGATCCACTCCAGGAAGATGAACGTTCATCCGGATGTCAACTTTGAGGAACTTGCTCGTTCAACAGATGACTTCAATGGGGCACAACTGAAGGCTGTCTGTGTTGAAGCAGGCATGCTGGCTCTACGCCGTGATGCCACTGAGGTCTCTCTCTCTCTCTCTCTCTCTCTCTCTCGCTCGCGCGCACATGTACACGTGCACACCCTATGCGGTCTGCCTGTCCAGTGAAGTTGGCACTCATTATGTGTCCAGGGGCTGAGCTCCTTGGGAGTTGGGACATGACATGGGGCCATTGGGCCCCCAAGTTCTGAAATTTATTTACTCTAATCCAATGACTTCTAGTGCTTAGTTTATTGAGGTCTGCCATCTGTTAGTCTCACCCCAAAGGAGAAAAGAAATGTTCATATTTTTTACGAAGCTATTGAGAATTTGTTATAGCCTCAGTATTTTCTGGGTGATTCTGAATTTCTGATAATCTTAGGACACTAATTTTCAGTTTCTTCTTTCATTGACCTGAATTTCAAAACCTTCAGTAAATCATCCGTGAAGACAACTACCTTAAGAAAGCAGTTTATAATCCCTGGTTTTGCCTTGAAGGCAGTCCAGATCTTAAGAAGAATCTAAAACCATTTAAATTAATACGGATCCTAGCCATCATTAAAGGAGTTTTCTTACTATGGAAATTTTTTATGGTCATCACCTTCTTAATGGAAAAATGGGTTTGAATCTATGAGTGAGGTAAGACTAGGAACAAATATTTACCAGTGGGGACTAACTGCAAAAATCTGTTCTGCCCCTCCGTTCTGTTTCTAGATAAAATAACCTAACTTGGGTATATTGATTTGGTTTTTCCAGGTGAACCATGAAGATTTTAATGAAGGTATTATCCAAGTTCAAGCTAAAAAGAAGGCAAGCTTGAATTACTACGCATAGTTTTACCTGGCTTCAAGGTACAATATCTGCACAAGATAACCTTTTCTGCTTTGAAGTTCAAATGTAATGATGTGGTCTAAACTTAAGATAGATCAAGAACCTTTTGACTCCTTGGCATAAAGAACAATTTTGAAAAACGGAGTTAAGTTTCAGAAGACAGGCTAACCTTTTATATCATGCTGCTCCATTTGCAATTCCTTCTAGGTCTTTATGTGTTCACGGTTTGTGTGTGAACTTTGAGGCTTTATTATTATTATTATCTTTTTATTTTATTTTTTTATTTTTAATAAAATCTATTATTCTGATGTTTGTGGTTCTATTTTGTGAAGGTTCTTTTCCGGGTTTTTTGTGTTTAGAAGCATATTGTTTAGTATTTTTACTGTCCTATTAATGACGAACCTGGACTTGATTAAGGAAGAAAAAATGTTTGACTTAGTAAAGGTAAAATGGACTTTATAAGATTTTGAATTAAAAAAACCAGTTAAATTAAATCAGGTTAAAAAAATGTCTTGTTTCACAAATTGATTCATAGATATATTTTTGGGACATATTTCGATAAAAGGTGTCGAAAAGTGCCAGTCAGCAGAGTTTTTTTGGCCCTGTAGCCCATACTTTAAGCTGCACCTCGACAAATTTTGTAGTACTTTCGAAGTATGGAATTCATTGTTGTTCGTCGCTATTCAATTGACATGTGAATGGTGAAACATAATACCGATTACTTCATATTTTGATTAACACGTCATTTAAATAGTGAAATGTAATACCGTGTAACTTCATATTTTGAGAGTATAAGAAATCTATTGTTGGATCTCGCATATTTTTGCACATTCATGTTTTGACTCGTTTGATACCCTAGGGGGTTATATGTTCATATCTTGAAGACGTGAGAAGGTTAGACATGTTTTTCGTGATATTTTTCTAATTGTGTGAAATTATTTTTTTCAAGCATACCACTCTAATGTTGAAGGACAAGCAAACTATGTTGTATCATTTGATCTTTTAGAGTTGTTTGCTGAATCCAAAAGAGAGTTCTTGCGTTTTTTCAATAACTAAAAAGTGTAACATAGTTGAATCTAATTAGGCTAGGGATGAATCAAAGAAATTGGTTCTACTTTCTATTATTTATGGAGACTGAATGTTTTTCTTGAAGGAATGTACGTGCTTGTACTTGATTTACCGCGACTAGAACTAGTTGCATTAGATGCTTTGAACCCGTTTGTCTAGCCGAGTCAAGGTTTCTCGCTTGAAAATGTTAGTGACGTCCGATAATGTTGTTTTGAAATGTTAAAAGATTGCAAAATGAGAGTGAAATTGCCATAGCGATACTTAAAAATAACGATATTAATGTCATTGAGGCTCAAAACCCTTCAAGAGGCGTCTACTGCTAGTAGTCATGTCTAGAAATACTTAAAAATGACAAATAGTTTTGAAGCGTGTACAAAATATTAGCGATGCCATTTTCTTTCCAGTATTAGAATAACCAAGTAGTTTGTTAATTTTATTGTTGTAGAGCTAAGCCATAACATACAGTTGAAAGATTCAACCGGGATTTCTCAATGCACAACCTGCAGAAAAACTCCTGCAAATGTTCTTAGACTTAAATGCAACAATCCAAGGCAGCATGCACAAATATTATTCTTTCGACTCGTTTAACTTTTGCAAATAATAACAATAATGCCTGCTCGCATTTTGAAGAGGTTTCCCCCACAGCCTGTAAAAAGAACTCTCTCTTCCGGCTACCAGATGAGGCCAGCATGGCCAAGAATAAAATTGAGAAGAACATCAGTGAACCATGTCTTCAGAATGATCAAATCAGAATAGAGCATACCATCTGCTCTCAGTGATCCAACTTAGCACTTATATTCTGCTCTTTCGCTAATCTCCATCTCGAGTATGCAACGAAGTTGAAAATAATTGACGGCATTCCAGACATTTGTCTTGCTTAAAAGTTGTGCTTTCTATAAAATCACTTCAAATGAAGTTAAACTACAAAGAAAATATAGATTTAACTTCATGATATATTGGTTTGTGTTCTTTGATTGAGGAGGTTTGTAGTTAAATTACATTAAAAAAATAAAAAAATATATAAAAAAAAATCAAATCTGTTAAGTCTCACAAGGTCTTGATTCCTTATTTTTATCAAAGCCATGGTTGTCTCGTTCTCTATGTTGAAAATATTGTTCAAGATTATTGATCAAAAGTTGATAAAGAACAAGAAACTAGAAGAAATAAGCAATAAAATTATTTAATTAAAATGGAAGGTTGAACACAATCATTAATTGCTGATCTCAAACGATATTTGTTACTACGAGGATAAGTGCTTGAAGACTTTTATGGCAAATAGTTTGTAGGAGTAAACAAAACATTAATTTAAATTTTTTTTAAAAAAAATAAAAAAAAAAAAAAAAAAAAAGAACTAAAGAAGTTGAGGATTGAAATATGTCATTCATTAAGAACAATTAACGTAAGGTGGCTTGGCTCCAAACATGGAGAGCCAAACCCACCATCTATTTTAAAAATTAAATTAAAGAGTCTATTGTGATTAATTTCAAGGATTGACTTTTTAAGATATAAATATTTTATTTTTAAAAAGTTTCTTAGAGATGATCTTAACTCTGAATTATAGTTTTTTTTTTTTTAATTCTGCCTTTAATTAGTATCTATTATGGTGAGTTGATTTTGATTTATTGTTGGTGATTATTCAAGTGGAGGTTCCTAACATTTAAATCTTGTGATAGAGTATCGAACCTTTTCATATGTTAGTTCCCAAGTTCATTTTATGATAAAAACCGTTAGTTTAAACCGTTAAAAATACAAGTAACTCTCACGTGGTCTCCTAATGGTTAAGAGCTCACCCCAATTTTATCCCACTTATAAACAAACACTACTAAAAAATAGTTTTTCACATAGAATCCGTTGGTAATTAAAAACGGATTATCCATTGGTAAAAGTTATTCACTTTCAGATACGATAATCAACAACGAATTTTTCGTTGGTAACGTAGATATCTCTTTACCAACGAATATTCTGTGCCTCATATAATCATTTAATATTTGGATCTTTCATGACGTACCGAATATTATCAACGGATGCAATCCGTTGGTAATTAGAATCGGATTATCTGTTGGTAAAAGTAAGTCTTTTTCAACTACGATAATCAACAATGAATTTTTCATTGGTAATGATGATATCACTTTACCAACGGGATATTCCGTCCCTCATGTAATCATTTAACGTTTAGATCTTTCACCTACGGATATTCCGTTGGTAATTAGAAACGGATTATTCGTTGGTAAATATAATTTACTTATCCCACATCGAAAGTTCACAACAAAGTCTTCTAACTTACCCTCTATAAATTAATTTGTGGTTAAACAATATTTTGGCATTTCAATTCGGTTGGTTAAAAGTTAAAAAAAATTAGAATTATTAAATAAATAATAATAGCAATAATAAAAAATAAATTTTTTTTTTTAATAATGCCTCGTATCTATGGGACTATTTACAACATTGATTTTTACCAATTGTAATGGTAGACATTTATCAACGAAAAGTCAGTTGGTATTAGTTAAAATTTTTACAAACGAAAATTTCGTTGGTAAAAGATTCACACTTTAACAACGAAAAATTCGTTAGTAAAATGTTTACTCTTTAACTATTAGCGACCCTCAAATTTCTAACGGATTTGTGATTGCAAATATTTCGTTCGTAAAGAGTAATAGCAACAGATATCGAGATTTTAGAAATGGAAAATTCGTGCCTGGAGTGATGTTTTTTAGTAGTGAAAACAAAAGGACATGCATCCAAACTAGTTAATGTCTAACATGATCTTTTTTGTCAAAAAAGGGAGACGTAGATGTTTCAAAGATTCGAAACCTCAATGAGATTGTAATGAGCGTTTGATTTTTCAAAATCGACCTTAGTAGTTAAAAAAACTAATTTTAAATTAGTGGAAATAGTTATTTCGAGTTTGAAAATTTAGAACAACCTTTTATTAGTGTGGCTAATGGTTGGAACTTGGATGCAAGGATCGCAAACAAGCACTACGGCCAACAAAAAGTGTAGGCCCGCAGTCTATATGTTTAAAGGGGCTTGAAAAGGGTTTGCGCGAGACTCTAAAATCATGTGGAACAATATCAGGAAATCAAGCCTCATAGCCTTCCATTAAAGTGACTTATTGGAGCATTCTAAGGAGAAGGTTAAAATTGTCCTTGATACTGTAGGAGATTATAGTACAATATAATTAGAATTTGCTAGAAAGAAATACTTTGTCGTAGAAAATGTTAAGAGGGCTAATCCCTGCCGTTGGATACGATGAATTTTCATTTCTTGTTCAAATGAAGTGTAGCTATATAAGGCTATGAGAACTCATTTATACAACATCCAAATAAAGATTCAAGAAAAAATAGTTGGACAATACTTGTGAGAGAATGTAAACAGTTAAATAATATAGTTTTTAATACAAAGAGCACATATTTTCCTCTAATATCTGCCTTGTAACGAAGGTCATTTTTTTCATTTCTTGAACTTTAAAATGTTTTAAAGGAACAGTTAAATAATATAGTTTTTAATACAAAGAGCACATATTTTCCTCTAATATCTGCCTTGTAACGAAGGTCATTTTTTTCATTTCTTGAACTTTAAAATGTTTTAAAGGATGCACGCTTACGAGCGCCACCAACTGAGAGAGGCTATCTTAACTATATTTGCAATAGTAAATTCATAAAAGGAAAAATTTCATAAACAAGAACACAAGTATAGCCAATTTCAATAATGAGAAAACAAGTTTAAAATTTCATAAACCAAATATTCATCTATAAATATATATATATATATATATATATATATATATATATATATATATATATATATATATATATACACTCCAGCCGCAGCCCTTCTTTTGTGATTTTTGGATTCCAAATTCAGCCCCCTTTTTTGCCAAGCTGCCGTCTCCAATTAATTTGTATCTATCCTCCCCTCTTCTCCTTTTATTTTTGCCAGCATGTGTATTTATATTAGTGGTAACCTAGCCCACAATGTTTGACTTTCTAAAGGATTCCAATTGCTCTCCAATTTTCTTTCAATGGCCACTTTCATCCACGTACTTTAAATATTGCCATTTTCGCCCAGTTTTCTCTTCTTTCCTTCACTTCCTTTTAATCCATGAGAATTCACCTATTAAACGTAAGACACAACAATTTAGAATGTAATAAGAAGATTATGAAATTGAACTTATCGTTTTA